ATATGTTACTAACAGTAGTATATATGTACGCTGTCTCACATACATGTACGCTGTCACATTGACATATATGTTACTAACATTAGTCTGTATTTACACCTTTTCACTGACATATACGTTACTAGCATTAGTCTGTATTTACGCCTTTTCACTGACATATATGTTACTAACGAAGTCTATATGTTCGCTGTCTCGCTTACATAAGTTATTTACAATTGTCTTAATGTACGCCCTCTAAGTTTCTATGACTGATAAACATTAGTCTATATCTCATATCACATGGCGACAACAAAATAAATACATACCTCTTGTGATATGACAGATGTGTTTAAAAGCAGACACAATCCCACATATCCAGCTAAAAAACCAGCCAAGCATCTCCCTGGAATACATGAAAGCGAAATGGATCATGTGATTTAATGTTAGCTATGGGTTTAACAGATCCTGGATAGGTTGGTCGTTTTGATGTCTCCTTTGAACCTGTTTACTGTCACGGAAAAATCAAAACACTAATCACAAACAACCATGAGAAAAATCACCAACAGAAAGCCTGATAAAATACAACTGGCCTATGTGGTTAGCTGAACGTTACGCTGGCCCTGAGAAAATCCTTCTACAACATCCCATTCTAATTCCCAGATTAATCAGATCTGTTACCTATTACAAGAAAATGCTTTTCTTTGGGTCAAAACATTTCATTCAACAGTTAACTTTCATTAACACGAGGCTAATGGGCTATACAAGCCAGCAATTCTAACTACATTTTTTTTTCTGAAAAATTGTATTTGATCGTATAAAACTCAGGTCAAACGAAACATCTGTCAGCGTCTCCAAGTTAGGGCAAGCAATTAGAAGAAAGTGTAAAGATTCAGGATCATATCAGGGTCACCTCTGGCAGTGATTAAGTACACCTTACATAGTGTTGATATGTTATCAGGATAAGTGGTGAAGCAACAACAATTTGCCCCCTTCCCCAATCATTTTTGATTCGACGCTTATCACCAATGTGTGGCGATCCGAGTTGATATGATGTCCGGGACTTATACGAAATAATTCAATTTTGATACATGAAGCAATTTAACAAAATTATGAACTAAAGCACCTACTTTTTAAGTAGCTCAATATGTTAATGATGAGATTTTACATTTCATTAACAGTTTTCCACATAGGACTATATTTTAACACGATACAAGCCATAATCCTGAAATATGTTTGGTATCACTGAAGACACTGCTAGATATTCTCTACATGTATATATTACCGACAGGTTTTACTTGCGGTAAATCCAAAAGCAAATAAACAAGAGCCCCATATGTGCACGGTCGTCTAGTGGTAGGACGCCGGGCTCATGACCGAAGGGTTGCGGGTTCGAGTCACGGCATGGTCTTTGTTGTGTGATGAATATATATATCGTAATCCTACCTTCGCTGATTTCATATGTTATTCAGGTTCGATACGTTGATCTGTTTGCGTTAATCCTTTGTGTGATGTCTCCGTAATTCAAACGCTTACAAGACATATAGATTTAGAGGTTCAATTAAAACGTACATGTGATTATACCTCACTCACAGATAGGTTTCAAGATAGTCAGAAGGAATAAATAGGCAGAAACCAGCTGCAGAAATCGGCCTAGTTCTGTTCTGATCTCGGCGAGTAAATAGCAATAAATTGTGAGTAGTATATGAAACCGGCTTTGTGTTGGAAAGATAGAAGTGACTGAATAAGTCTTGCCTTGATTTAATAAACGGTTTAGTGCTGAAGCGAGATACTGTTAGACATAATGTGTCGGGGTGCATAGGCTGTGCATAGCTATTCGTGACCAGGGTAGTCGTGACTAGGCAAAGTTGGTAGATCTAGAACTAGTCATGGGAAGGCTGCCGTGATCGGCGCGACTAGGTCATGTAGGTACAAATGTAGCTGACTATAGTGACTAGGGATAGCTGCGACGTGGTAGATATAATGAATACAGACCAGATAGCTTTGGTTATAGTTTTAGGGTGTCGTACAGTAATGGTTTGGTTCATAGCATGTATTAACATTAGGTATGCTGGCCACAAGGTAGTAACACATATTTGTATATATATTGAAGTTTAATTATTTCATTAAGCGTGGTTTATGTCAATAAGTATTTCCATCTCAACTGGGCTCGGGAGATCCAACTGTTGGCGCTTTTTGCTTATACACATCAACAATACATTTGACCACTCTATCAGGTCTATACCCAATGTCCAGCTTATGGGCCGTGTGCAGGGAGGGGTGCACACGATTCCCTTTTTTCCACACGTCCCTTAGGGCTCAGGGCGATCACGTGACCACTGACCAGTGTCCAGTTTAGCGTCACCTCCAATGCAGCACCAGCAATTTTGTTTTTCATTTATCATATCGCATACTTAACCAACGCTAAATCTATCTTGTATTTATTCCTTAATATAGTTAACAGAGTAATAATGACGATGGTATAGTTTATTGGATGTGATGTGGTGTTTCGAAGGATATTTCGTCGGGAGAAAACTCTATCAACAGAAAGTGCTTCCCTCCGAAACATGGCGCCTTAACAAAAAACGTCAGCGGACCACGGTTCAAGCCCTGGACATGACTAATTATATGAATTGGGGAGTGACGCAGCTTAGACACGCATTAGCGGGAATTGGACACGTAACTACCCGCACGTTCCCCTTGGCAATGTTAAGAAAACTTTATGCAGACAATGTGAATGTTTCGAGGAACGCGGCCAGACCTGTCGCTCAGCCTATGGACCGTCCCGCTACAGTTTCAACCCGATCTACCCGCGTAGAAGTGGTGTCAGGAACCGAACAGAATCCACAGAATGTGGATTCAACCGTGATCAGGCCAACGGAAGAGCTTAGAACACCAGCGAGTGCAATTGACAATGTCCGGGCGGAGGACTACTTTTCTCCGCATAGTGAGCGCGCCAGTGCAACAATCAGTGAAGCGGCCGTGCGTAGGAATTTGATAGAATGCTCCCAAACACAGGAGATCGCGGGGAATTCCCCTAACAACATGGGGTCGCCCATGCTAAAAACTTTGTGTGAAACGATGTCGGGTATTCATAATGTCCACGTCCGCTTTCTCTCGGGGACAAAGAGAAAGTCCTGAAGCTCTTCACGCTAGAGGACAGTTATAACCACCAAAATGTAAGTGTCACATGTGCAGCTCCGGTAAGTGCCAGCCTCAAATCACACAACGTGACAGGCGCAGTTGCCCCGGAGGACATTCCTCAAATGGATTTGATGGCGCCGTCATTAAGCCGACAGATCGTTGAAGGTAAGGACACTAATCTAGCCTCCCTTCTAATTCCCTACTACGGGGTGCAGGAACAAACTTCCGCCTCGTACCAGTCCCAAAATAACGATAACAGACTGCGTCGGTCCCTGTCTATAGGGGAGTCCATCAGGGCATTCGGACGTTTTAAACGTGCAATGTGCCAGGCCTACCCGGCACGCAGGGAAGAACTCGACCAATACGAGTCCATCATTGTCAGCATTTACAACGTATATGGCAGCTGCTTTTACGAGTACCATAAACTGTTTTCGTTGAAGAATGCCAATGCTCTGCATCTACATGGCCTCAGAATGTATTGGGGGAAACGCGATCATGATATGCTCCAGCTAGTGTCTTCAGGGGCGCAATCTAGAATGTGCAAGACATGCGGAGAGGTCTCTCATGACACCAATTATTGTCCGCAAACTCCCAACAAAAGAACACAAACTCTTCTTCTAACCAACACCAAACCGTAAAGAGTAATCAAAAGGGAGTTAACTTGCGCGGTCGGAAGAAAGTATTTCATAACGGAGCCGAAATATGTAATAACTTTAACTCCACTAAGGGATGTTACAAAGACGACAGCGTGTGTTCATGGAGTCATGTGTGACTACAATGTAAGAGTAAGTCCCACGCAGCATGGGAATGCAAAAAGGGGGACAAACAGAAAGATCGGGAATGACAACTAAAATCTTCACATGACAGGGTACTTCCAAGTTCACGACCACAAACCAGTCATACCCCCGTCAATTTCAAACAACTGTCTACAGAATTAAAAACAAACAAAGACAAAACTTTTGTTAAATATCTGGTCGACGGTTTTACATATGGCTTTGAAACTAAAGTTAATAATGTACATATTCCCACCAAAATATGTAAAAACTTGCAGTCGGCGCTAACACAACCCAATATCGTGACAGAATTATTAAAATCAGAACTGGACAAGGGCTTTGTCTCGGGACCTTTCATTCTACTACCCTTCCCATCTTACCGTGTGTCTCCCCTAGGAGTATCTCAGGCAAAATATTCAGATAGAACACGCCTGATCGTCGATCTATCCGCGCCGCACAACGACGACGTACATAGCAGCATAAACAATTTAATTAATAAAAGGAATGCTCATTATCATATGTAAGGATAGACGACGCTATTAGACAATTAGTTATAAACGGACGAGGTTCAAAAATGTGCAAGACTGATATTTCTGACGCGTTTAAGGTAGTACCTATAGCACCGACCCAAAATCATTTATTGTGTGTGCAGTGGGAGGGCAAATACTACTATTATACGCGACTTGCGTTTGGATGCAGAACCAGTCCAAAAATATTCGATAACTTATCAGAGGCTATATGTTGGAGCGCCCAGAACAATTACAGTATCAGTTTCATTTACACTTACTTGACGATTTCTTAACGGTTGACAAACCAGACTGTGACGCAAATAAAACTAGGAACTCACTGTTATCAATATTTGAGAAACTGAATATTCCAATTGCTAAGCACAAAACCGTAGGGCCTACAACGGTGCTAGAGTATTTGGGTATCATACTCGATTCAGACAACATATAAGCAAGACTGCCACAGGTTAAAATAGACAGAATACGGCAATTATTGATAGAATTTTCACAAAAGAAATCATGTACCAAACGCGAAATGCTGCAATTGCTGGGACATCTTACCTTCGTAAGCCGTGTTATCCCCGCGGGCCAATCGTTTATTTCATACCTATTGGCCTTGGCCCATTCTGCTAAGGAGTTACATCACTATGTACATCTTAATGTGGAATACCGCGAAGTCATGTTTAGGTGGATCACATTTCTAGAGCAGTGGAATGGGGTATCTATGTTCCACGACACAGGGCGCGTCAAGGCTTAAGACATGTCGTTATATTCCGATGCTTCATCTACCATAGGATATGGAGGGGGTTTTCCGGGGATATTGGTTTTGTTCTACATGGCCAGAGGAAATTCCGTTGTTAAATGATGACAAATTATCCATGGCATTCCAAGAACTGTATCCGATTGGGATAGCAGCCATTTTGTGGGGGCATTGGTGGACCAACAAACGTATTATATTCTTTTGTGACAATCAATCCACCGTG